CTGAGAGCAATTTTAAGATGCTATTATGTATGAAAACAGCATCTCAACATAGGTATATATATTATTATGCCTACTTAGGCCACATTGTTTGCTAAATAGTTAAATTTGACTGTTTATCAATGTTACGTAATAAATAGTAAAATGTATAAAAAATACAAAAAGTTTCTACTACAGGTATTTTGTGATAACAAATGTAATACCTATTAAGCTACTTAAACTAAGTTGTATTTTCTAATAATAATAACATTTAATTATGTATCAAACAACAGGCCCTAATGGTGTGGTGGTTAACAACTGGTTTGATGTCAATTTCATTATTATTAATTTATCTATTTATTAAGCCATTTTTGCTGCTGTTCTAATGAAATTAAAATTATAGAAAATACTGGCATAGGCCTCCTCCAGCTCTAAACAGTGTTCTATCAAGTGCAACCCTGCACCAGCGTAGGCCAGCTGTCAATTTCAATTCATCATGCCATCTTTGAAACTGTCTTCCTGTTCCTCCTTTTCTTTTTTTCTGATCAGTCAGTGATTTGTATAGAAGTTGAACTGATAAATAATATCCACTTTTTGTTGATTCCTGGCCATATGATCTATTTCGTTTAAATAAGAGCCATCTGGCGAAATTATTTATTAATACTCAAATACCCTGTTATAACTTGCAAGCGCGAATGTTGATGCGAATGTTCAATGCTCAATTCATACTAACGCAGAATCGAAGCGAATTTCCGAAATAAGCAAATTCACTGTATAATGCGTTACAGCAAATAATTTCATGAAAAATGAAATTATATTTGTTTCTCAGGTTTTCACGCACATCACTCATTAAATAAAACTAGTTTTTAACTGGTTAATGCGAAACGTCAATAAATAAATAAAGTTTCGTGCATTAACCCGTTAAAACTAGTTTTATAAAATGAAATTACCCATTATAAAAAAAACCATACAGTAGTTTTAAACTTTCTGATTTTTTTTGAGAATAATTTACTGGAATATATTTAATGTTTTTAATTTAATCATAAGTTTAATGACTAGCCTGCGAGGGTTTCAGCAAAAAATATATTGAATCAATTAATACAACAGATGATGCTTATATAAGAATATTTAAATGAAGAAAAGGTGTTATCGTAATTGTTCTATTTCTTTATTTTCATTAATTATAAGTTTGTTGAATGTTAATAAGTGGTAGTGAATCTCTATATAATTTTTTGCGGTAATGTTTAGCGTTTTCTACTTACTGCAAATGCTTTTAAACAGTTGCTGCCATGCGAGATATTTCTGCTCTATTCTACTTTACAATTTATAACACAGGGAAACAAAAACAGCCCCTGAGTGTCTATGCCAGTTTTTCTTAGTACAATAGTCTCCCGTCTATGGGTACGGCCAGAGTGCACTCAGATTCAGATTCTGAAAACAAGCGCGAGAAATAAACAGTGTAGTCTAAGCAGTATGCGAATTATGATCAACTCTTTAAAATGATATCAACTTAAATGCGTATTACGTTCAACTTTTTGACATAAAACAGTATCGCATAAACGTGATGGATCGATATTGATATGATCTTGATGTGATATAGGAATGTTTCATAATAAAACACAATGTCAACTTGGCATCAACATCATATTGACATCACATTAGGATTATATCAATAAAGCATAATTGACCCGCAGGTTGCCTGCTTTTTCTCGCGCTTTGTTTTCTGAGTCTGAATCTGAATCTGAATCAGGAGTGCAATCTGGCCGTACCCTTCACTACACTGTTTATTTCTCGCGCTTGTTTTCGGAATCTGAATCTGAGTGCACTCTGGCCGTACCCATAGGGTGCGGCCAGAGTCAGAGACTCAGATTCAGATTCATTTTTATTACTTGTTATACTTACATAATATCATTATTAAAAATTAGTTAATTGAAGCTTTTGTATTAAGGGAATCAGGAAAAGTTACGTAAAAATTATCAGCTAGACCCGAGAAATTAAAAATAATTTAATTTATAAGTTAACCCGACCGGGGATCGAGCCCGGTACCCCGCGAGATTTCGGGGTTGATTAATTACAAAAGCGCTTCCTTGCTTTTGCGATAAATATAAAAATGATGAAAAATCTCCCAAACGTATAAAACGTACACGTACACAAAACACCACGGTTGTTGTGATGCCTTTTCTAAAGCTTTGTGCTCTCCCAAACTTCCCATGACACTTGAGTGTCATAAAAGTTTTTCCAGACAAACGTCCGAGGACACGAGTTTGAGTGTCCTCTGTAGGCAGTCCTGTTTTTTGCTCATTAGCACGCTTTAGAAACCATCCTTTTCGCTGCTTGTGGTATCTTTAGTTTAGACAAAAAATGTAGATGGCGTTGTGAATAAAAATGCGGTGCTCTCTGAACTTACGATTATTTTTACATCAGTTTAAAGTACGCGCTCCGCGAAAAATGGTGAGGTCGTGAACGTTTCAACCGATATGACCCCAGGTTTACCTACACGTAAAAGTTTTATTAGTTACTAGCTATTTTTTTATGTTTTTCTTAGGTTTTGTTATATTTATTTATAAAAAAATATTGCAAACATTGGAAAGGTAAGGAATGTTGATAAAAACCAAGCCTTTATTAATAAATAACTTAGGCACCTACCAAACGTTTAATACTTAACTCCTCAGGTGTTGTAAAATACTGGCCAAATTTAAATATTCTATACTTAAATTGTTTCAAAAAAATAATTATAGCTTTATAAAATAATAATAAAACTATTAAAACAATTACAAAAATAACCGAGCTCAGGATCGAACCACCGATCATTTGGTGTCTACCCCAAGACAGTTAGCGTTTGGCTATGTCTCTTGTAGTAAATGATAAAATTACGGATACCTATTTTGTGTCAAATACATTACTTCCGTTTCATAGAAACTCAAGTCACAACTAGAGGTGTAAAAGTAACGAAAATAGAGCGTACCCGTATGTATTCGTTACTTTAACAATTAGTACCCGTTACTATAGTATCGTTACGTTACTTCTCATAAAAAAATCGGTTTTACTATTTTGAAATTTTTAACCGTGAGCTTATGTTAAATCACAATAACATCGCAATCCATTATTCATCAATTATAATGATAAAGCAACAAATAGGTGTCGAAAATTATTGTATTGATAATAATACTTAAATAGCATTCTAACGATAAATCAACATAAAAATAGTTTTGCTTAGAATGAAATTAAACATAACGAAAGAAAGAACTACAGCAAAAATCTTTGTTCTCAAAATAAAATTATAAAAAAAATAAAAATATTTTAAACGAAATCTATCAAGTTGGCTTTTTCGATAAAAGCTTCTGTGAGGTAGTCAACACGACAATAAATTTCTCACGTCCATGTGACCGGAATAGCGTATATTTTAACGATTCCACTAATTCTTTAGTTACGCAGACGGTTGTAACACAAAATCACACCAATTTTATTTCACAATATCCACTATAAACGAATTTAAGAATAATTAAAATAAGACGCTAACCGCACTCGATGAAGACCCGCCAAAAACTCCAACGTACGTTTTTAAATTCTCCGAATATGCTCGCGTATGCTTAAAACATACGATCAGCAAATGTTTCTATACACACATCAATTATAAGGCAGGCTTGTTGAAAATATATCGATGTATCGATATATCGATATTTTTTGCCGATATATTTTGATTCGATATATCGATACAAATTAACCAATATCGAAATTCGTATCAAAAACGATATTTTTTTAATTATTAGCGGCATATCACGATCTAACTAAATTCGTATCTACAAAAATCGGAACTGGATCTCAGATTAATGATATTCAACATATCTATGATCTGTGCTGTATTTAGTATTGTCTATTATTTGTAAATCTGTTTCGCTGGTGAATTGGTTGCGCTGAATTCCATTATATTCTGTGGAAGTGTGTGACTGTCTAGTCTTGTTTACGAAAGATGACACCTGAGAGGCCCTGCAATCATTTTCTACATTCGAAAAACGGGTCTACTTTTAGGGAGATAATTTTCGTTTCATTATTATTCCGCGTGCCATATTTCGTGAGATACCGTACTGTCATGTAGTGTATCGGCAATTGGGTACTTTGATAATTCTTTCTTTAATTATAATTTGTATTGTTATTATTAATGTGCTAGACTGACCTAAATATAATTTTGGGAAAATTGGTCCGATATGTCGATGTTTTTTTCGTGACATATCGAAGCCGATATTGATATTTTTTAAAATATCGATGTATCTATATTTTTTTCAACTTTCGACATCCCTAAAACATATAGATAGTCATACTACGAAAAATGAGAGTAACGAAATTTATTTGTGTGTAACGTTTCGTTACTAGGTACTAGATGGCGCACCCGTTACTCAGTACCGAATACATACGGTTTGCTACAGCTCTAGTCACAACGATACTAAAGAAGTTTTCGCTTCAAAAATCACGTCTGTTGTACGGAAGCCGCACCTAAATATTTATTTTAATTATTAGTTTTATTTTAAGTAATGAACATATTATCTTTGAGATAAAAAAAAACGCGTGCATTCTATGGAATTCACGCGTTTTCGCTTGAATTCTGTGGATTTGTTTTGATGTAAGCATGTGTTATATGAGCTCAGAAGGAATAAGTGCATTACATTTCGGCGAGAAGGGTTTGCTATATTACTGTTACTGAAATTCGCTTCAATGCGCTAGTATGAATTGATCATAAAATGATGCGAACCATTAGCAAGGGCGGATCCAGGGGGGGGGTCATGACCCCCCCCCCCCCTGGGCTGGGTACAGATGGACCAAACCCAGGGGGATTTTATTTAAGTACTTTCAATATTTAATATACCACGACTATATGATCCCCCTGGCGCCAAAGCTGGCTATATGACCCCCCCCCCCCCTGGCGCCAAAGCTGGATCCGCCCTTGACCATTAGCACAGGCGAAAGCGAATGCAAATAGAAGTGCGCCCAAGATTTTATGGCACTTAGACGACATTGACTGCGCTGCTGGTGATTATGTGGAGAAATGAGGATTACTACCATGTGCCATAAGATATTAGTCGCACTGTATTCTTTACATCCCTGATAGTCTATGGTCGCAGACTCGATCTATATCGTTGTCAAGGTCATCGTCGCGTCGCGTCGCCCTCCGCCGTCTCAGCCTGCCGCCCATTTTGTCTATGCCGCCGCCATCTTGTGTCAGACATATCAGCTGTGAAAGGGATCGTTCGTTCCATCGTCACCGTATCAACTCAGCCGTTCAGTATTTTTTGTGTGAAATTCCCTAATGTAATGCAGTCGAGGCGTTATGATTCTTGAATTCCAATTAGTATGCGTTGCAGTAGGGGGTTTCATACAAAGAATACTTACTTCTTTAACAGCTCGAGTTGAAACGGTGACGACGATGCCTTTCAGAGTTGATACGTCTGCTACGACCTTCACTCATAATAAGTGATGTGTCCTGATATTAATAAAAGTTTAGAAAAATCCATGAGTCTTATTTAAGATTAGCCAACCACGATCCTAGATTCAAACCTGAACCTCATGAATGCCATGTGCGAGGCGAGGGGCCACAGTGGCAACGTAGGTTTCGTATGGGTACATGAAGATTTAACAGGACCTTTAAAAAAGCTATGGCCTGGATAAATTTATAGCTGTTTTTAGTTAAACGCTATGACTCAACGAATGTGGGCTCTCTGGCGAAATGCCTCAATTTTCAGATTACTGTATCTGACTAATTTAAATATTTTTGATGAATAGTATATAGTATATTTAGAAGGTAATTTATAGGACTACGTACACAAATATAAGCTCTGTTGAGTAGTCACTCACGTACTACGTAGTCACGTATAAAGAAAATCCAATCAGATTTTAGGCCCTCAGTTCTTACGTGTTCAAAATTTACTCTACTGCTACAAATTTGTAGTTAAGTTTCTTATGCAAGCTTTGAAATTTAGCAGATGTAGTTAAAATGCTATCCTTTGAGTACGAGGCTAATAAATTCTACCAGTATGGAATAATAGGCTCAAGTAAGTAGGCCCTCGGTCAAAACACTCAAAAACGAATCATGAAAAATAACTCATACCATGCTCATAATACGAAAATAGTTGATGCATATTTTAGCTTACTAACAATGACGATGATGATCTAAATAACAAGGAGTTAATTACAAAAAGCCGACAAACTAAAAATTTTTCTGTTGAAAATGCATCAACTATTTTCATTTTATGATGAGATAGGCAGAGATATTTCTCATGAATTCATTTTTGTGGCCCACAACTGATTGGATTTTCTTTATTTGTAGTCACTCAACAATGCTCAAATTTTTGTATGTTGTCCTACAAATTACCTTATAAATCTGTCCATTCATTAAAATTATTTTACTGAATTATTATATATGAAACCAACGTTTTTCCACTGTAGCCCCTCGGAGGGCATGTACATCAATTTATCATCATGGCCCACCCACAGGTGTGTGAAGTTGTAACAGAATCTTATCATTCAGGCAATGGTTTTTAAAAAATAGATCATTTAGTTTGAAGCCTTCTTTGCAAACAAGACAGTTTTTTAGTTAAACCAGCTACCTATAATTCTAAGAAAAACCATTTCTCATTTAAATTATGATCTTGTGATGATAATTTAATCTATTCCTAATATAAAGCTGAAGTTTGTTTGTTTAGTTGAATAAGCTAATCACAGGATCTACTGGTCCGATTTGAAAAATGCTTTTTGTTTTGTTTAGAGCATGTATCAAGGAAGCGGCTATTTAATATAACGCAATGAGTAATAGGAGCATTGTGATTGACAAGTGATTTTGCAAAAATAAAATAATTCTATTTGAGAACATTCATGCATGCGCTGCGTAATACGGGAAGAGAAACATAAAAAAAATCTTTTCATTTCAATAAAAAAGTTCGCAACAGCAAATGCATATTTTAAGGGTAATCCACTTTATCATTCTTCCTCAAATTTATGCATGTGAAATCGCAGGGCACCACTTGTTTAATATAAAATATATTATGTGCAAGTTTAAAATATTTAAATTGTTAAAATTGTAAAACTTTGAAGAAACCGGCATCAATAATAATGTGACATGGATATATAGTCATAATAGGTATGTTTTATACATAAGTACAAATAATACAAGAATTCCCAGACCAAAGTTTTAATGACTTAAAACTCCAATCAATTACAATGTTTTGCAATTTTTATGCATTTTATTATACAATGTTAGCTCTGTTTAACCTAAGAGCTATCTGTGACTATATTTTTTCTTTAAACCTAATTTATTTTTTAACTTTTATTTAAAATGAGAAAGCAATATATTCCAAACGGACATCATGGTTTTAACAACTTCTGAAAATACCATTATTAAAAATATTATTATGGGTGACAAACGCACCTTTTACTATACATATAATCATGGTATATCTATTCTGTGGTGCAAAGAAAAAAAGATTCACATACATATAAATATAAAATTGAATTTGTACAATTATATGTCCTTTTGCCAATTCCTCAACTATTGTTATACCAAATTAAGCTTAAGATGAGAAAACAACATTATTTCTAGTTATGCTGTTATTTAAAACTAAATTAGTGCATGGCATAAGAGACAGAAGCTATTTAGAGATGAGATGGCTCAAGAAGGATTTCCAAAGTCATAAGTCTAATCATAATATGATTATAGATAGGTATATTGTAAATTCAGTGTTCAGAGTATAATGAATACATGACACTACAATAAATGAGAAACATAATTTAAATACATTTATTTAAGGAACACAAAACATGTTAAAACTAAAAATTATATACCGTTTGAGACCTGTCAAATGGCTTTGGAAACCCCCAACTTTTTATCATTTCATCTGGTGAGCAAAATTAAAAACTAGACCAGTTTGTTACGATATCGCTTAGTCGCTTTTCTTATCTGCAGCTTTGGTTTCCGGCTCTTTCTTTACCTCCTTCTTTTCCTCTTTTTCTTCTTTCTTTTCTTCCTTCTTTTCATCTTTAGTTTCTTCGATTAAAACTTCCTTAGCCTCTTGTTTTGAGGCTTCATCGAAATTACCTACTAGGTTAGGTACCTCATCATCCTCATCTAGAGGCTTTGGCGCGGCCACACTCGATGCCAACCTCTTCAATTGGTTCAAACCCTCAGGTCCCAGCTGACTCAGGATACCCGGAAGCATTTCAGCGATTTGTTTGTTCTCTCCATGGCCGGTAATAGCGAAGGTGTTCGCCGCGAGCGAGGCTTGTGCTTTTGGGTTATTGAAATGTATTACTGTACCATCATCTTTTATCATATTAACTTCTTCGATACCAGGAATAGTGTTCACTGATAACTTTTTTAAGGATGACTGCAATTTCTTGTCGTCTGTGGCTGCAGTAGCGTGCACAACCTTCTTCTTACGCCTTGGTGTGCCTTTGCCCCCAATACGCACTTGTGATTGAAGTTTCTTCAGCTTCTCAGTGTTCATTTTGGTAATTTGTTATGGCGTACCTGTCGAAAGAAACGCGACGCACTGTTTAGTGATGCCTTTTTTTAAATATGATCACGGGCACACGAATATTCCATGTAAATTGTTCGTACGCACGTGTTATGAACACCGGTAAGTTACAAAGGGAAAATGGAGGATTTGCGACAAGTTATTTCTGAATTTCGATTTCTGCATGTTGGCATCACTGACCAGTACGTTTTGTTCCGTTACTCTTTTATGAATATTCTTTTTATTTTTGATTTTATTAATTACCTATTGTACGTTTTAAAAGAAAGTATTTTTTGTAATCGAAATAATATGATAAACTGATATTATTTTTGCTTTGGAGCCTATATTTTTCTTTTCTGTTACGGTAAAGTATTCACTACGTGAAACTAAACGCCATTCGAACAATATATTATAACCAAATGTTTTTTTTTATAAATAAGTTTTACGGCCGTGAAATTCTCCATTTCGGCCATTCATTAGTTAATTTCATCAATTTAAATGTCTTCGAGAGTAATCATTACATATTCGAATCTTGTTTATCAGATTGTTGTATGATAGATGGCAATTGGCTGGGTATTCTGCAGTTATTGTATATCTCTATTAAGCCATCTATCAATAGGAATCTCTGTATATTGAAGGTAGAACATTCTAAGAAAAGATGCTATAAAATTTTTACGCTTTTGGAATTGCAATACCGACAATCATTTTGGTCATCTAGTTTAATTATCTTTAAATGTTCCCGGAATCTACCATGACCAATTCGTAAGCGGTTCAAAGTAGTATTATATTTTCTAGATGTATGTATAGCCAGCCACAAAAGTCTAGTGAGGAGATTACGATACTAGCAAAAGTTAAGCCTGCATATTAACTTGTTGTGACGTGTCGTGGCGCGCTGGTTTCATACATTATTTTATGGTTAGAGAGAGAGGAGATAGAGCGTCGAAAGGACACGACACGTAAATATGTTTCTAATCATAAAATCATAGTATATGTATGAAACCAATGTACTTCTGGCGCGCCACAATACACAACGACATGTTAATATGGGTAGCTTTCCAATTACAGCATTATAGCGCATTATGCGGCATAATGCTTAACGTTGAGTGTTCCAACTACAGCAACGCTTCGCACAATTGAGCACTCTCAAAAGTAATGCTTTCGTGTGATGCGTGCAATCGTACCAACCCAGTGACAGAAAATTAACAAGTGTTTTTTCTTTAAGTTGGCATTGATCGAAATGTTTCATTTATGTTATCGTAAGTAATATTATTTATTGTTGAAAAATTATTAAAGCTTTCGTTTCATTAAATAGTTTTTTTAAACAATCAAAGTTAATTCAAACTAAAAAAATAATAAATATAAGTATGGATGAAGGTACAAACATTGACTTATTTTAAACACTGAACTTAGAGCACTCTGTTGGTGCATTTGAAAACTAATTCACGTTCCAATTAAGCATCAGCATAATTCGGCATTGTGCGGCACTGAGTCGCATTATGCTCTGTAATTGAAAAGCAGCCATGCACAGGGCTTTATTGATGTTACGCAATCCATAACGTTATAAAATCACAATGGTTATGTTTTTTCACACAATCACAATGGTGTCGATACGGACATGAGTCTCTAAACCTAAACTTAAATTTGACAACAGTCTGTGACACAGAATGAAAAGGAGATAATGGTGTCGATTCTGGCAGCATTCTCTAAACTTAAAACTAAATTTAATATCAGTCTGTCCTTTTTATTCTATGTCTAGAATGACAAGGATACACTGTTGTCAAATTTAAGTTTAGCTTTAGAGAATCATGCCAGAATCGACACCACTGATGTTAGATTTAGTTTTAAGTTTAGAGAATCATGCCAGAGTCGACACCAATATTGATTTATAACTATTTTAGTTAGTAATAAAAATGGGGTTGATATATAAAACTATAAAATTGTATGGCTAAAAAATGTTTACTACAAATTATTCTGGGGCGCTAATAAGAACCAAATAAACGTGTATTAGTTTATAATAAAATTGCCAAGTAGGTTTTTCTTTTGTATACTGTACCCAAAGCTTACTAAATGTGCTGAATGAATTTCATTCATGTACTCTCGAACCTTGATGATGGGACATTAATGTTGATAATAAAATAATCAACTTTTAGTGATTTCATTGTTATATTAACATTACTTTTATTATTAAGTCGTATTGCACCCTATGAGCTATGTACCAATTTTTGATCTCAGATGATATCTGATCCCAGTGATCGAATTAATTAGCCAGTCTATTTTGTAAGACACAATCTCACTTACGATCTGATATATTCGGATTTTAGACGATTGTTAAAAAAAATCTAGCTGCTTAATGCATAATATTTTATTTAATATCTTATTCTCGTTCTTTTTCTTACGTAGTGAACGGTCCACATACAGTTTCAAAGTTAATGTAAGATTTTGATGATTTAATTGGTAAGACGACGACCCTTTTTATGCCATTGTAATAAAAAGCTAGCTCACCCACAATAATTGAATTAGATTCAATCAGCGCAGTTACCAAAATCTTCTAATATGTTGTAATCAATGTATGTCAGCGATATATTACGTTATTTTATAATGAATGTAGCTATGTAAGACGTAACGTAATCGTTTGTACAGTAGGAATATAACTGATCACACTACATAAATCAGATTACTCTGTGGTTAGAAGTCCTTTAGTGGGCAGCGACATCTATTTAAAAAAGCTGGTATTTGAATAAACATCCTAAAATAGTTAGATTCTACATGCCGCAGTAGATGGCGCTACTAGTATTAAAATATCCGAATCTCTTATCTATTAGACAAGTCCGTCTGTCCGTCTGTGGTGCTGTTTCAGCGGCCAAACCGTAAAAGATAGATAAAGAGAATATTTAAGTTATAAGTTAAGAATAGTCTGATAAGACTACAAACCGGATTTGAGTACGTAGCACTTCCGGTTTTCGAGAAATCACGAATTTCAAACGAAACCACACAAAATCTCCGAAGTTCTCAGTTAATTAAATACTTTTTTTTTTATAAATCAGGTTTTGGTGAACATTTGGTTCACTGGTTTGCTAGTAACCACTAAAGCCTAAACCTGAACGGCCTCCGCAGTAAAATAAGAGCTAGATACTAGCTACTCGTTTATCTAACTTTGACTTTTTCTAGAGATCGAAACTTCGATCAACAATACTTTAGATAACGGGCCAGCGCGTAAAATCCGTCTCGGTAAATATAGCCTCTATTGAGGCGTGAGATCTTATTTTCAATTAGTTCGGTTAATACACAGCCAATAGGTCGGTCGGTAAAAGGTTGTATGTACGAAATAACATTTTGTTATTTTTAACTTTAGTCCTTTGTGACATGGTTCAACTTAAATTGTTTTAAAACGTGTTTTTTTGAAGTGAAAACTTCTTTAGCGGCTTTGTACACTGTTTTTGTAATGGGTAAAAATTGTTAAACTCGCGTCAGGACACGTGGCGGACACGTGACCTAATCGAAAATTCGTAAGACGAAAACAATATAATTGGAAAGGATATATTGGACGAAACATTGTAATATTTTATTTTATCGTATTATAATAATAAGTCTTTATGTAAGACGTCCAGGTGGCAGCTTTATTGAGAAGAAAATGCATTTTTTTTACAATAGATGTCGCTAGGTGCGCTTACATGTGATTCATGTAAGTTGATTTTTCTGAGAGATAAACTTTTTAATGTTATATAAATTGTCATGTCTTTTTACTAAAGCACAATAAATTAATATTGTACTCTACCACATAAATGATAGTACTTTTATACTGATAATTAAAGCAATTCGTGCAAAATTATTCTCTCACCATTCCAAAATATCAAAAATGCACAACGTTAATATTCAAGTTTTCACTTCTGCCGGTACTCCCGGAGTGCAATCCGTCGTTTTGTTTCTTTAATGTATTTACATATATTGATTAAAATTACAAGTTACAGATAAAAATAATAAATATTAAAATAAAACTACATACATTAAAACTAGACAAAATTGTTGATTGGGAATCGAATGCAGTCAAGTCGCGCGACTGTATGTTAGAGATGAAAAATGCCAAAATGTTATGTATTTTGCTGTAAAACATATCTGTAATATTAAACTTATAAAATGATGGTGTTAAATTGCACATAAAGTAGAATTATTAACATATTATTTCTATTTAATCACTTTTAAACACAAAATTCATATTATTTTTTTAAAATTCAATCGTCAGACATGTTTGACAAAACAATCGACTCGCTAGTACTTTCAGATCTGTCAATAAAAAAAAGCGAGTGGGCTTATGACCACACGACTAAAGTGAAACTTCTTTAGCTCCAATGATCTGAAAATCATAAACTTAACTGAAGATTTGTTGATAGAAAAAAAAAACACAAAACCGCGCTGAGTCCCTTATCACCTACCAATCCGCACTGAGTCCGTTATCATCCACCATTCCGCACTAGGTCCGTTACCACCCACCAATCCGCACTAGGTTCCCTTATTATTTCTATTTAATCACATTTCTCCTTACCCACCAATCCGTACTGAGTCCATTGTCGCCCACCAATCAGCGCTGGGTCCGTTATCACCCTCCAATCTGCAATGGGTCCATTATCACCTACGAATCCGCACTAGGTCCGTTATCACCCACCAATCCGCGCTGGGTCCTTCATCCAGCAATTCGCACTGGATCCATTGTTACCCACCAATCCGCACTGGGTTCGTTATCATCCTCCAATGTGCACTGGGTCCATTATCACCCACCAACCCGCGCTGGGTCCGTTATCACCCTCCATACCGCACTGGGTCCATTATCACCCATCAATCAACGCTGGGTCTGTTATCACCCTCCAATCCGCACTGGGTCCATTATCATCCACCAATCGGCGCTGTGTCTGGGTTATCACCCACCAAGCACTAATTTCATGTATTTTGTGACGGGTATTGTTCATTGTATGCAGATGAGTCACCGGTGACACTAATCGTAACGCGAAATCGTAACACATTCGCCAGTTTACCCCCCAAGTCAAGCGTGCCTAAAGGAGTTTCACTTCAAAAATCATAAGTTTCATCTATGCCTTTTTTATGTATGAGTGTCGTAATTACAATTTTGATTTTGCGAAAGTTTAAGCTGCATAATTATTTCAGTAGTATTATGTCATTATGTTTAGCTGTAGTATCGAGTAGTATCCCCTCCTAGCTGCGTCGGCTGTGTTGCTGATGGCAACCCGTTATCTATAGAATTGTTGATCGAAAGAACGAAACAACTGATTAGAAGTTTCTAGTTGTTTATTTTTGATTTTTTGAAAGTGAAATGGGACGGAAGTGTTTGACAGGGAGTCGGGAAAGAGCGCGCTATTTGAAGATTTTTGACTACTTAGGCATTTAATATAAATAACTCTCAGATTAGATGCACCACGAGAGCTCAAAATGTGTCCGGATCAAGTAGTCCTTAACACCGCGTAAGCACTAGTTACTTACCAAATCAATGTTTGTTAATTTAAAGCATGTATAGTTAATTTTGTTTTAAAACTTGCTTGGAACTATTTTTGATAAAAATGATTGTAATAATGAAATGCATAGTTGGTTGCGCTGCACATTTGTTTCTTACCCTTGCGTTTCGTGCAGATAATATTTTTAAACCTATTAACCCTCTGTTAACAGCGCTTTCAGAATTAAGAACAACGGTAATAAAATAAAAGTTTGCATTGACATTAAGACCTTATAATCAATCTCTTAGCAACCTAACACTTTTCCGAGATAAAAAGTATCCTATGTCTCAATCATCAACAGCCTATCTTAGTCCACTGCTGGACATAGGCCTCT